AATGTCCATAGACATTTTGAGGTGGAAAGTTCCCAAGTGAGGGTTTTTTTGCGGTACGCGGGCCTCTCACTGCTGTGGCCTCTCCCGCCGCGGAGCACAGGCTCCGGACGCGCAGGCCCAGAGGCCATAGCCCACGGGCCCAGCCGCTCCGCGGCACGTGGGATCCTCCCGGACCGGGGCACGAACCCGCGTCCCCGCATCGGCAGGCAGACTCCCACCACTGCGCCACCAGGGAAGCCCCCAAGTGAGTTTTGATGCATATTTTGTTTTCTACATCTTGTGTCTCCAGCACAGGAAGTCTTATTTTCCTTTGTATTCCCAGTACTTCCCACTTTGCCTGCCACATGGTGGGCAATAAATAGCTGTTGAAAGAATGAAGCAAAAAGAAAAGAACAAATGTACAAATTTATACCCTGAAGCCTTCTTTTTCTCTGTGCTCTCTGAAATAACCCCACTGGGAGGCAGCACGTGACTTTAATAACAGATTTTAAAAAATAAGAGAGGGTCATGCTTAAATGATTCCATTCAAAATACGGTAGTTCCAGGCATTTCACAGTTACAAATCGAAGAAAGAGGTGATAGTGTGACCTTCTTAAGCTGCTAAATGAATGGCTTCAAGGCTAGCTATCTATTCAAACATTATCTCTTACTGCAGCTTAAAACATCTAAGGCATAATGGCAGTGAAAATGTCTGGAAATGAATTCTTAATAATAATTAGATGGTATTATGGCTGGTGAGATTTAATTGACATTATTGTTTCTATCTCCAACCATCATGACAATAAGACATGCCTTGTACTTATTCTGTGTAATTCAAGGAATGGTCAGCATGCAAATGTGTAAGATGTTTTCAGGAAAACTGAATTTCATGAAAAATAAACATATTCCAACTCCCTAGCTAATTTTTTTGGCTCTTTTCTGCATAATCATAACACAGGCTGTTGGGTTAGCATGGGACACAATGTAAGAGAGTTACTTTTGTTATTGTGTACCAATTTCATGCAGCTATTTCCACAACCAGGCTAATTTCAAGTCTGTCCTGAGCAATGGTACATGTGATTCCAAATATTAATGGAAATTTATATTGGTTACAAATTGTTACTCTTCTCTCTAGAATAGTATTAGTTCATTTGTTCACTGTTTTCACCAGCAGTTTACACCAGACTTTCAGTTTTCCTGCTTTTACTTTTAAACGACCTTCCTGCCTAAAACTTTACAACTCCTTTGGGCACATTTTGCCAGTTGAAATCCTTTTCTTCCATAAATGCCAACAAGCTGATGAAACACATAGACAGCAAGAACATTTTTCACATTTAAAAAAATCAACTACAGCCTTCCATTCGCAGTGAGATCATGTATCTAAGAAGGATTATTATTATAAACTAGGGAAGGCCTGGTCATAGGCAACAGAAACTCATCCACGTGTAATGTGAAGTATACCCAATAGATTTGTTGTGCTGTGAATACAGCACTGGTAATTAAAATAAGAAATTTGTTCTTTGAAGCATCTCACATTTTTATCTTTAAAAATTTCAAAGGGCTTGAATAAAGCTGTTTATCAATAGGAAATATGTACATGTTTTTCTAAGTCAGTATTCTGAACTGACATTGGTAATTGCAAGCATTTTTAATATTTTATGTCTTCTTTTTGTCTTTTTTCATGCAATATATATTGTATTTTTTCTGTTCAACTTATTCTCTTTTCTCTCTCCCTTCTTCCGAGGCATCTCATTCTAATATAGGAACTATCAGATATCAGTTTCAAAAAATACCATAAATAGGGTTTTTAAAAAAGTAAAATTTTTCTATAACTTACATGAAATTATAGTCTTGGTTGATACATGGTCAGATTTCCAAAGTACAGAAATCAATAGACTAACCAAGTATTTTCCTTCTGCATGATAAGGGAAGCCAGGTTAATATATCTGAAATATCTGAAATCTCACTCCCCAAAGCCCCGTCTCTTCCACAAAATTAACTCCAAGTTTTGTGCTCTATTACTTGCAGCATCCCACTTCCAAACTCTGTATCAGTTAAAATTTGTATCAGTTATATCTAATGCTTCTTATAAAAATCTTTTTATAAAAAATAAAAACAGTGGCTTAAACAAAATAGAAATATATTTTCTCTTACATAAAAGAAGTCTAGAAGGACTAGTCTTCTAGCTTCTGATCTACAATCCATAACGTCATCTCAAGATCCAAGATAGCTGCTGAGCTCTTGCCATCATATCCACGGTCCAGTAATGAACAGGCCCCTGCTGGTTGACTTAGTTGGTTGAATTAATTCTCTCAGAATTTTCACCCATAACTTCCACTTACATCTTATTGGCTCATAAGCCACATGGCCCCAGTAGCACTAAAGAGTCCAAGCATTTGTCTTCAATTTGGAGAGAAATATTCCCACAAACTTCTGGTACTGCTACCAAGGAAGAAGAGAACAACATTGGAAAGCAAATGAGTCCCTGCCACAATGGTCATTATAGTTTTCTTTATAATGATGGAATATTGAAAACAACCTAAATGGCCTGTTTAACTAAAATGCAGTACGTTCATAAATTAAATACTGTCTTGATATCTAAAACATGGATGCAGATTACTATTTATTGACATAGTTATCTCCTATATATTTCTGAGTGAAAAAAAAACAGCGTCTATAATAGATCCCATATGTAAAATCATGTCTGAAAAGTTTTTTTAACATTAAGAGTGGTTAGCTAATCACTGAGGTTAGTACTTTTTTGTGTAACTTTACTTTGTTCTTTATACTTTCCTGTACACTTTGAAATTTTTACAATGAGCATACACGGTTTACAGATTGCTGTAGAAATAAAAAGGCACTGTACGAAATCACCTTCAGTATTTCAAAAAAAAAGTCACTCTAAAAAACTTTCTATTTGCACAGCAATCTTCAGCCAATGGGGTTTTGAAGCTGCCCTTATGACAGTTACCAATATCATACTGATAATATTACAAACTGCACTGGATATCATTTTTTTTAGTAACATGGCAATAACAAAGCAATAGTATCCAAAGCAAAAAATCATTACTTGCTTTTTTGTGTTAGACTTCTAACTCTGCTAATTTGAGTTTTATACAAACTCTACTTCTCCTTCTATGAGTTTTTAATATGGCATTTAGTAGAAAAGAAATAGGGTTTTATTAACATCTTCTTATGTTTGTGCAAGTAACTTTTAATTGCAGCAATTAATTATTTCAGGTAGTCATTGCCCCTATTTCCATTCTATCAGATATGATCATATATGAAACTTTGTTACAGAGGTAAATAGAGTATTTGAAATCTAAGTCTGCCTTTCGTATGTGTATGCAGTTAAGCACTTTGCCAGTTCCCTTTATCGCTGAAATGGGCAGAATAATGACTCTTTTACTTCCTTAAAGGGGGTATTTTAAAGATAAAATGAGACAATTGATGGAAAATATTTTGCAGAAAAAAAGTAGCATATACAATATTGGGGCAGGCTGGCTTATCTTAAAATCAAGGGGCTTATGCAACATTGGTTTTTCTAAGCAGAAGCTACCATCTTTGGCGCTGCTCACAACACCTGCAGCCAACGTGGCTAAATAGGTTGGTTGCTACTTCAAAGGGCAGCAGAAAATTGAGGGAAGCAGGTGTTACAAGAATGGAGACTAACTCACTAATCCAGAAATCCATTGTGGAAAAGCAGCCGTAATGTCTTACATCACTTTCTTGGGCTGGGTGGGTAAACCTTAATTTATTGTTTAAATTGTATTAAATGATTTTTAAAATATAATATCCGTGATTTTCTTAAAATAGCAATTTGCAGGAAGCTCACTAACTCCCAACAGCTCAGAACTAAGTATTTAAAACTCCTTGCAGAGAGAAAAAAAGTCCCCAAAGATTAAGAACAAATATCTCATTCTCATTTAATTAAAGCAAAAACTTAGCCTGCTTAAAAAAGTAATCACTCTGAAAACACACACACACACGCACACACGCACACACACACTGTTATATCATCTCCTTTGAAATGATATCTGTCTTAACCTCCGTTTCACAGGTGGAGAGAACTGGGGTAGAGATCTGAGACTGCCATTAGTGACAGCTGAATTTTCTCTGATTAAGTAGTGCTGGAGGGACTTTAGGGGTTACTCTTCATTTGAGTCTCCTGTTCAGCACCTGGATAAGCTTATACTGCCTTGGTAACCAAGCCAAAACCCTTTCTTAATGTTGAAAAGGGTGATTGATGCTTATTGATTACTACAGTTTGGGTGAATTGCGGTTTCTCTCATCATGTAGATGAGTTTCTCGTTTTTCTTTTTTCTACTAAAGGGATTTTGTGAGGTACATTTAATAGTAAACTCCTTATAATCCCCCATGTATGTAAAGAGCTTGTTGCCCAACATTTTAAGCTTCCTCACATAATCCCCAGTCCCTTTTGTGAGTTCCGTCCACTTTGAGGAGAGACTTTTGCACCTGCAGTAGAGATGCAATTGACAATAGCTTTTGAAACATGTACAGTCGGCCCTCGGTATGTGCTGAGCATTGGTTCCGGGAGCCCCCCATGGATACCAAAAGCAGTGGATGCTCAAGTCCCTTATATAAAATGGCGCAGTACAGTTGGTCCTCCATATCCATGGGTTCCACATCCGCGGATTTAACCAACTGAAATACATGACTGGGTGAATCCCTGGATGCGAAGGGCTGACTGTACATACTCCATTAGCCCACAGATGGAACAACCCATGAATACTTTTGTGATAATCAAATGCCCCAGGCACTGCACTGGGCTTCAACCACTATATTGAGACCTGCTCCAAGTGACTTCTCTACACTGGTAATATTTCCATCTCTAAAATGTTTCAGACTTTAAATGTATTACCAGGATATTTACAGGGGACTTGCTTGAAATATTTTTAGAGAAAACATAAAACTTCTGTCACATCTTTGCTAAGAGCAACATGGTGTTTTGCTATTATTGTTATAGTAACTGTTGAAATTTGTTTTCTCCTTGCTTTTAGCTCTCTGAGTACAGTGTCTTATATGGATGAACCTAGCCAACATGAAGATGCCCTTCACCTCGCAGTTCAGATGGAAAACACCTACCAACTGGGTGTGTTATTTTATCACTCCATCCTATTTAAGACTTCTAATTTTATGGGTGATATTTACTTAAAATAATATCTGATAACCTGGCATTGTCTTCAGTGCTAGCACAATATAAGGGATCTTAATTAATTGGGTGATTTGGTATTGCTTTAATTTCTTCCTCTGCAAAGTGGGACCAGTATCCATTGCCCACTTTTCTTTATCAGTATTTTCTAAATACCAAGCAAGTCACTGGGTGGCACTGAGGTGTAGTTGTATTACTGAATTAAGGAGTTCATTGGGTATTTCTTGTGGAGTTTTTTATATCTACTTGAGTTAAATGAAAGAGATATGCATTATAGTTTTATCAAACAAAACCAACCAAGGTTGCTGATGGGTGGAGAAAAAAGCCTTAAGACAAAGGCAAATGATTCCTGGTCCCCTGTTGACAGAGATGTTTATCTTTTCCCGCAGAGGTTTTGGGTCTTTGAAAACAAAAATCTTTGCACCTGCCCCTATACTCCAGGTGGAGTCCACAGTGACTATCATTCCCCATTCACATTTCTTCATAGAACTACCTGCTTTCTCTAAATGAGTACCTTCTCACTATTATCTGCATCCATATATAATTACTGCTGTATAGAAATTCCGCAGAGACTTACCAGTGACCAAAGGAAGACTCCATGGGCCAGAGTGGTTTCATCTGCGGTCAGTTAACCTCAGGAGAATTATAGACCATCAGCACATCCCATTAGGCCTTCTAGCCAGTTTTCTACAGTAATCCCCAAGACGACATGGAGTATAAGCCTCCATAATTAGTCTGTCTACTGGTATTTTCACAGTGCCTATGGTAGACAACTAATATTCCTGCCAACCAAGATACATTTATACTCCTTCTGGTAGCCTGACCCAGTTTCCTTTGGGGGAGCCCGACCACTGCCATCGTTATCACTTTTGGTCCATAGCATCCTCCTGAAGCTGACACTGGCTTCAGAGATGTAACAGTGACTGACTTGGGGATTTGGTCAAGGCCGTCAAAGCCTTTGAGGTTCAATTCAGAAAATGTTGTTTGGGCTGTTGAAGAAGCAGTTCATATCCTGAAACTGGAAAGAATAAGGGCTTATGGCAGCTTTGGCCATCTTGCCCTCACATGAAGCCTGAGACCACGTCCTACATCCAGCTGTGTACTCTTAGACTTTTCAGTTAGCAAAGTAAGTTTGGGTCAGGTCTTCCTGTAACTAAAAGAGCTTTGCCATTCGGTGCCTATGACTCTGGGCTCTGTATGCTAGAAGGCTTTGAATCTGATTTTCACAAGATAAAGCATTTGAAATATGAAGCCCTGTGTTTCTTCTTCAAAAGGATCTATTTTCATAACATTTCTCCAAATAAACTAAACTGTCTAATCAGTTTTAGAAGTACTGAGTGTTGAAGCAAGTTAGAAAAGTAATTTTAGAAATAGCTTAGTATAAAGTATTTTCCATATTTTCTTTCAGAAAGTCATGTGAATTATTCTTTTGTGATTAAAGTCTTTTATACATGACAATCCATTTTTAAAGCATTTAACTAGCTATTTTGTTAATAATCAAAAATGTATTTCCACTTCCACTTGTTTCTGGGTTTATTTTGCATCTGAAAGAAGGTAGTCTGTGGGCCTTTGGCAAAGATTTTCTCCTATCTATACAATGAATACTGACCAGAAGAGTGAGGAAAAACTCAATCACCAGTATCACTGTGTTTACTTTTTCACATGCATCATGTAAACACATCTTAAATGTTTAGCATGTTTGTCCTCCCTTTATCTAAGTAATTACAGCCACCAAGAATGAGATAAATCATAATTTTTAAAAAGGGGGAATGGAAGAATGAAAACATATTTCTTATAATAAAAGCCACTTACCTCTTCCCATTAATTAATTACTGAAACATGAGTACAGAAGAAAATACGAGCTGCAGGGTCCAATGTATATGAATCTGAACACTCATTTTGCCTATTCCTAAATAAATGATGTTTGAGCAAGGGATTCAGCATCCTTGAATCTCAGTTTCTTTATCTGCAAGTAGGGATAATAGTCCACACATCTAGGGATACTGTGAGAATTAAATGAACTATTGTATTGCTTCCCCATTCAGTATGTTATTGCTTCTCAAACTGACTGACTCTAGGTCTTCACCTTAGATCACTAAGAAGAAAAGCCTTCTATGACATCCAACATAATTTCCTATTAAGTATGGAATGAGTTCTCCACAGGACTTTTTCTGGAGCAATGACTATAGAGGTACCTGATTTTTTAAAAACACTGTGAGCACCACGTCACACAAGGGCTATAGGGGGCCATCTTTGCTGCCACATCGAGACAGTCCACCTGAAGCCAATTATTGAAAAATAGAATCTAAAGACAGAGAGAGAGACGTCGTTTGAACTCAACTCTCGTGAGATGAGCAGGCCCTGTCACCAGAGGCTTTGTTGGACAGAGTCTGCCAGTCTCTCAGTGCTGACTTTGCTCCACCCTACAGGGTCCTTCCCGCCTTTGGAGGCCTCACTACATCCCTCCTTTACACTGTTGCCCATCTTGCTGCCTTCTCAGCAAGAGCAATCCCTGTCTCTTTGCTCAGAATAAGGTAGCAACAATAACAGCTACAACACTCTTAATGACAAAGCTCTAATGAGTGGCTTTTTTGTGTGGCAGGCACTGTTCTGAGCATTTTAAATACTTCGTCTCATTTAATCCCAACAAAAAACAATATGTGATCATTCTTATCACTATTCCTTTTTGGGAAGCTAAGACACAGATATATTAAATAACCAAATTTTTATCTATTCTCTCTTAAATCTATTTTTATGGACAAGTTTCTCTTTCTTTTTTTTTTTTTTTTCCATCCTGATACTTCTTCAGATCTTTGCTTTTTGACTTCTAAAGACATTTTTTCCTCCTAAAGAAAAAAATTTGCTCTAAAAAAAAAGAAATGAAAAAAAGCTTAGGCATTCACATTAGTTGATTCTGAAAGCTTCAGGAGCTTGTTTTGGAAGTCAACTGCTGAATATTGACTCTCTCTCTTTGCCTCTCAGCATCCCAGCCTGAGTAAGGCAATAGATAATTCTGGCTGTATAGGGCCAAGGTCACAAAGAAGTGAGAAAAGAAAAGTTTACTACCATATTTAAAATTCTTTTCAGAATAGAATCTTGTTAATGAGATTAAAAAGACAAACCTGAGCAAAGTGCAGAAAGGGCACTGGTGCAGCTGGACAGTGGGAGCTACTAGAAACTGAGACTCAGGTGCCCCCAGGATTCCATCTTTCCAGCCCTAAACTGTGTGAGGCTCCCTCTCTAACCGTGGCCTGGCTGCCTTCCCACTATGAGAAACAGCCTCCAGCAGTTCCTGAGAGTCACGTGTCATAACTTTTAACACCAAAAAGGGACTGACTTTTTTTTCTTTTCCTAGCTCCAATTTAAAATAAAAATTCCAAGAAAGGACTCTAATTGACCTGGCTTGGGGCAAGTCCATCAAGGGCCAATCAACCATGATCTGGACTTGGGCTCAAAGAAAATGATGGTAGAACCTAAAGAACCACATGGTTAGAGTGGGAAGAGGACCAGTTCCTTCCATTTGGGAGATGCTGTTCCCAAATCACAGGGAGGAGTACTAAGCGTAGGTGGACAAACATATGCACTGAAGGAATTTACTATTTTCTGAAGGGAACAATGCCTACGGTCGCTATAATACCTGGCCGAATTAAGTTCCGTGTGAATGATACAGGTCAAGTTAAGGTAAATGCCATACGAGAGCTTGGTAGGAGGGAGTGAAAAAGAGAGGTACCAATCTAAAGGACATAGTCTATTTAATTTAGTCCAAGCTGTTAGTATCATTTTTTAATTTCTTAAGTAGGAAGGGAGGAACCACTCTCAAATTTAGCCTCAGTTCACTAGCGTATGCAAGTGGAAATCTTCTAAAACATCCACAGGATGGTGACACAGTAGGTGTCTGGGGGCTTGCCTACTGGGGCTGGTGCCCTAGCTCTGACCCTATGAAGCAAGAGCAACCAGGACCAACCCTTCATAGGTTTATAACTGCTGTCGTTCTCCTGTAGAACAGAGATTCCTGCTGACTCAATACCGGGGTTAATTTTCATATTCGTAGCAGATGTCTCTGTTTTACTTGTCCACATTCATTCCCCAGGCTGATTTAAATTTAATTGAACAATTCATGTGTAATCATCAAAATAAAAATACTATTAACTGAGCCCCAGGAGGCTGACCTAACTCAACTCTAGGCACGGGCTGTCACCTTCTGGTTAAGTTCAGCCGTAGGGAAACTTCAGCAGGAAGAGAGAGTGTGAACCCTTGCCTTTGGGCTCATCTTGGGCTGTTTGCATCTATCAACAGAAGGACATAAGCTACTCTTAAGGGAGCCCTCTCCACATGGCTCTTCTGGGATCTAGTTCCCTTCTCAGACCCCTCTTTCAATAAAGCTATGGGGTGGATGGATATGATTTGAAATTACTTCTTTGAAAGAAATTCCATCTGTATTTTCAGGTCCTACCAAACATTTTCCTGTTGTCATTGTCAATCATATTCTGAAAGATGTGTTAACTAACTACCTACAAGAAGAAAAATATGAACCAGAGCTCTGTAGACAGATGACTAAAACGCTTTCTGAGGTATGCGTATGATTTCCCAAAGTGTTAACTATGATGAGAATATTTGTTGAAAGCACAACCCCCTACTTTTTGATGAAGGCAATTAATTTGCAGTAGCAGTAAAACTGCTTATTTTTATTTTATAAAAGTATTTATTAGGTCATATTCTATGTGTGTCTGTGTGTGTGTAAAAAGCCTTTGTCTAATACAATTATTATGTGCATCCCTTGCATGTATTCTGTTTAAGAAATATATAAAACTGCCCCATTTATTAAAAGATTTTTATTGTAGAAAATACACTTTAATAATCATTTTTTCTTCCCCAAGTCACCTTCTTTGTATGCCATCAAATGCAAACATTGTGGCCTTTAAATACCTTTCTATTTTTATCAAGTAAAATGCTGGCACTCCATCAGGTTTTCTCTACTTTCTTTTTCATTACAAACTCTCTAATAAGCATTCACGATTAGTCATATTACAGGAGACTCCAGCTGTATGGTCCCTTAATCAGATATGAACAAGAGGGTATAACTCAAATGCCAACATTCTTTGAAGGGAAGCCATCTCAACATAGATTTTCAAAGAATGTAATAAATCCATTAAACTCTATTCTCTGGATTATCATTTTTCCATGTGCCTTAGAAAACGTAGATTTCTTGCTTGGGCTATCATTTTGTCCCTAAATGTCCTGTCTTGTGAGGCCAGTGCTTGAAGGAAATTATAGCTACCATTCTACAACAGTTAAAAGGATCCAAGGGCTTCCCTGGTGGCGCAGTGGTTGAGTGTCCGCCTGCCGATGCAGGGGACATGGGTTTGTGCCCCGGTCTGGGAAGATCCCACATGCCGTGGAGCGGCTGGGCCCGTGAGCCATGGCCGCTGAGCCTGCGCGTCTGGAGCCTGTGCTCCGCAACAGGAGAGGCCACAACAGTGAGAGGCCCGCGTACCACAAAAAAAAAAAAAAAGGATCCAAAATGTATCATGCTGTTTTCTTCAGTTAAATCCACTATATTTATGAGGAAAATTAAGACTCTTACATTTCAATGTGACTAAGTGAGGATGTTTTTTTTTGCTTTTAATTTCTAGATTATTAAAGCCCAGATCAAGGACTTGATGATTCCACGATATAAGCTAATTGTGATGGTTCACATTGGACAACTGACTGGCCAGAGCATACTGATTGGAAGCAGATGCCTCTGGGATCCTAAAAATGATACCTTTGCATCTTACATTTTCAGAAATTCTTCTCTGTTTGCTCTTGCAAATGTCTACACAGTTTACTTTGAGTGACTGAAAACAAGAAATCTAGTTCATACTTTTTAAATCAAGAAATAGGCTGTATCTTTGTACACAAGTTTCACTGCCCAGACGTTTGAGAAAGACACAACACTAATATTTCAAACAATTGGAAGTTTGGGGACTTTTTCATACTCTTGTAAGTATGAAACTTACTCTTTGGGGGAGAGAAGGTGGCACAAGAAAGAATCTTGTTTATCCAGAGAAGGAACTAAGTCTTGGTTCTGCTGGATTGTTTTATTAAATATTGCCTTGGGTACTAATTATTTTAATTACACTTTAATTAGAGAGTTAGAATTCCCTGCATTATTTTTTTAATGAAGAGAAGTCTTAAAAAATATGGCTATATACCCTGACCAATAAATGACGGTAGCATATTCAATGTGGTATACCCAAATGATCAATGGTACGCTGTCTCAGTGCTGTGTATAAAAGAATACTGGTTTTCATTTTGTATTTAATAAGTTAAGCAGCATTCATTAACTGCAATTATTGTTATATGTACCTGACAGTTGAAACTGCTAATGTAGAATTAATGATTTCATAACAATTATCGTAGTCCCACAGGACTGCTAGCTAAAACTAGAAGCTCTTGTGGGTTGCCTGCACTTTACAAAATTGTGGGAGAACCAAATATTAGCTCTTCAATAATGGAAGCAACAAAATAAAAATAGGCTTTTTAGGGCACTGAAGTAGAGGTTGTGATATTAAATATACATGATGCTTAATAGTAAGTGTATCTTTAACATAAAATCGTGTATTGGAAAGAGACACTGCTTTTAAATATACACTGCCTGATACACCTTTCAATAGGTTTCCTAGGCTAACAGACTTTTACACAAAATATATAGCTGGCAGCTTAACAGATAAAACGTGTATTTACTATTTTGTTCCTATGAATTTAATACTAAAGTGACCCAGTGTGGTTTTGAATGGATGGCACTAAAATTTACAGAGCTGCAATAGCTTATTATTCTGTGGGTTAATGTAGCTTATAACATGGATCATTTATTTTTATGGAGCCTTCAGCCCTTTGTGTGCATGTAAAATGGTGCTGTGACATTGTTCTTGGATGGTAAGTGGTCTGCCTAGAGGACATTTGTTAAAGGTCAAAGATGAAGTGTACACATATGGAGAAAATTAGCAACTCTATAGTCCTAAGGAAAAAATGATGTGTAATTCATATCAAAACGAATTTAACAAATGGGAAAATAGTGCTTTATAATCATGTACTGATGTCTTATTTTTCCCTCAAGATGACGTGTATTTTTTTTTTAAGTATACTTTTTAAATCCCTTTTCTTCTCTTTGTTCTGGCTTTTAAGGTAGCGTTTCAAAATGAATTAGTCAATTTTCATTGTTTTTTTTTGTTAGTGCCTTAGTGGGAATATGTCTGTGTAATAATTTATCACAACCAAGATTTGTCGATCTTCATAGCCAGTGTTGAATCTGGATTAGATCATAAGTACAGTACATAAATGAGTTTTATATATTCACTATACATTTATGAACATCTCTCCTCTTAGAACAATAGCAGGGGAAATCATATAGCAATTTTGCATGAATAAATCAGTATGAAGGAAATTTTTTTAGTATGTAGAAAGTCCATTATAAAAATGTCCTTATTTTTTAGAGTTATAAAATCTCAACCATGAGATAGTTTCTTACCATCTGTCTTAGGCTGTATAAGGATTCAAAACCTTACAATACGATGGCAGTTAAAAATCAGAAAAAGGAAGCGGTTTGCCAGCATATTGCTGTGTACTGTAATTCAGGTAGTCAATGATGAATTCTAGCAATTATATAACAGCATAAAAATATATAGTAAAAACTTACTAATTGTAACTAACTTGGAGGAATGCTGATTATTTAAAAAAAGCTTTGTGATGGGAAATTTTGATAGATATATTAGCTAACACCTATTCCAACCAATAAATGTATCAAATTAACATGCTGTATACCTTAAAATTATACAATGTTCTGTCAATTATATCTCAATTTTAAAATAAACATTTTTTAAAAAAAGAAATGACACTAACTTTGAGGGAATTGTTTTACTTTGAAACCCACTGAACTCTCCTGGTGTTTTTTCTTCTCAATAGATGTTCCCAAAGTGCCGTCCCTACCTCACAGCCTTGACTCATGCTTGTGCCTAGCTCAGAACACCCTCCTTCCACTTAGAGCAGCTTCCTTCAATTTTCAGCATTAAACTCAGGTGTCACCTTTTCTCTAAATCTTTCTCCATTCATTTCTCCCCTCCCATCCTCTCTCTTCTTTCATCACTCTCATGGCTGAGCCCCTGATTCTTCTCTAGCTGAGTTTTAAATAACAGCTTTGTTTCCCTTACTAGATCGAAAACATCTTGAGTATGTGGACCACATATCCTGACAACACCTAAGAATAAAATGTAATACATCTTAACTTTTCAAGAAAGAATCGCAAGCATTGATAGTACTATGCTACATAATTACCAACCAAAAAGGTAATAGGACACAGAGTTCAACCCTAGAAGGCCTAGGATCCTATAGGGGTGATAAATATACACGTGACCATGGTACAGGCTAGAATATGTTTTCATAAGAAAAGTCCAGAATATCTTTATATAATTAAGGGAATCAGGGAAGGCTTCACGAAGGACGAAGCACTTATCTATACTATGAAGGTGACAAGTAGAATTTCAACAGACACAGAAGTTCAGAATACAGGAAGAAGTCTAGACTGGATAAAACACAGTGTTCATGAATGAAGGTAAGTGGTCGGAACTAAGATTGGTAACCTGAATGTCTGAGTATGAAAATGACACTCAGACCATGGGTAGCCATCAAAGGCTTTTCATTAGGCTGATTGTATACATGAACTGACTCTTTAAGAAGATGAATGCATCAGTAAAGAGCAGGAAGACCACTTAGGAGAAGTGACAGGTAATGAGGGGCTGAACTCAGCGGTGCCATTGAAATGGAAAGGAGAAGACAGTTGTATGAACATTTTAGGGACAAAGTCTACATAATCAGGCAAAGAGGAAGGAGTCAGAGGTAATTAAGGCAAAGTGAAAAGGTGGTTGAAAGTTTCAAGCTCTGATGTTTGCAGCCTCAGGTCTGAGTCCTTCCATCCCAGTCACTAGTTAAGTGATCTTAAATAAATCAACAACCCCACTATGCTGCAGCTTCCCCATCTTAAAGTACAGTAATGATAGTTCTGGTACCTACCTCACAGGGTTTTAGTGAGAATTAAATCCATATGTTAGCTAAGCTCTTCACAGCACCGTGCCTAAAAGGAAGCCCTATGATTGCAGCTCCTATGATTGCAGTTGAAAGTCTGAGTCCGGGTAACCAGATCAATGGTCCTCCTAGCAAAAATAAAGTCAGCAGGAAGAATTTGAAGACTAAAATACTAAGCTTGATTTTGCACTTGTTGAATTTAAGTTAATAATGGGACATTCAGTTGGAGATTGCCTCAGGCAGCTGAAAAAGTGGGACTGGAGCTGAGTTACAACATCAAGGTGAGAAATTTAGACTTGGCAGGCATCCATACTGAGACCTAATATCTTCCTCCTGCTTTATAAAATATTCATTAGCAGCAGCTTCAGCAAGTATAGTCAGTACTAGTAGCAAATTACTGAAAATTCAGTTAACTCTAGGAATGTCAGCAGGAAACCTTCCCCAAAATCAAGAGAAATTTTTCCCAAAATCAAAATTAAATGATACCTTCTTTTTTTCCTTCATTAAAAACAAAATTCTCTATGATGGGCTTCTGTTGTCAGACACCACAAGAAATATAAAGGTTCAGTCCTAAATCCATCAGCACCTTAAATAGAAGGGTCAATGCTGTCGTCTGATGTCATCCTTAGTAAAACAACCTTAAAGAAAACACATAATAAAAGGCCCTTACAGATTACGTGTCGGGAAATTGAGCTATCTCAGTTCATTGATTTTTTAGAAACTCTTGGGAATTATCCAGTACGTGGATGGGTTTACAAAACAACAGTTGAGAAATCAGAACTTTTAAATCTAGCCATTTTAGAGAGTGAACACTTTCCTTTTGGGACCATGACTTGACCTATCTTTCTAGATATTATCAAAAAATGAATTAAGAAAACTCAATATTAAATAGTATTGATAATTTACTGTGCTTTTTGCTCCTGAAATTCTTAAATAAGTGGTCTGCCCCACGGCCTCTGACTTTCTCTGCTGCTCTCACTTCCACCTCCTGCAATCCAGATCTCAGCCCCACCAATATGTTGCTTTCACAAACACTGCAAGTGGTGCCTGGGGCCAAATGTGCCAAACATTCCTCCAGCTTCATTCCACCTCTGTTCTCTTCTGAATTCATTTCTTTTGAGCATCAATGTGATATAGGTTTGATTGTTTGCTTGTTTGCTTGTTTGTTTGTTTTAAATTGCAGATTTGACAGACATATATCTCATTTTAGCTTCTAGACCTTACTAGCGGTGTGACTTTGGGCAAAGTGACTAGTGTCTGCAGCCTCAGTTTTCTCAAAGGTAAAAATGATTGTAACAGTGATTGCTACTTATAACTGATCAATGATCGGTGATCACTACTTCTGTTGTTGCTGTGAAGACTGAAAGGGAAAGTGTATGTAAAACATCTGACCCATCGTGGAAAGCTCTCTCTCCACCTCCAACTTCTTTATGCAGAACCTGTTTTCCTAAAGAATTGAGCATATATTTTAGCAATTTCTGCTCTCCACTATACTCCCTAGATTACTTTTTTTTCTTTTAAAAGTTTTAATCACCTGTTTCTGCCTTCTTTGAGTCAGAAACACTGAATTATTTCTCAAATCTTCATTTATGATTAAATACCATTCATCCCCAAATTTAATCTCTTTTTGCTAACCTCTGCCTATTTTTTTATACTTCTTCTGATGAGATGTCTTGCCTCCCACTTTAGGACTTCCGTAGTTCCTTTTAATATTTTTGCTTATGCTACTTATCTACTTATTTTTTCCTGTCTTAGTGTCCATTTGAATTTACATGCT